ATATATATTCTATTATATATATATTATTGTCATATATACTACTATATAATATAATGTTAGAATAGAGTTAGAAGGGACTCTACCATGGTACTGGGGGAGAACAGACAGGAAGGAAGGAGAGAAGAAAGGAGGGAGGGAAAAAGGGAAGGAATGAAGGAGGGAAAGGGGGAAGGAAGGAAAGAGAGAAGGAGGGAGAGAACGAAGGAAGGAGAGAAGGAAGGAAAGAAAGAAAGAGGTACCAAAGGAAGGAAGAAGAGAAAGTAGAAAGGAAAGAAAAAGGGAGGGAAATGCAGGAAAGAGGTAAAGAAAGAAGGAAGGAGAAAAGGAAATAGAAAATGAAAGCAGGAAGGAAATAGGGAGGGAAGAAAGGAGACAAAGAGAGAAAGGGGGAGGGAAGGAAAGAGAGCATGGAAGATGAAACCCAATGAAAGAAAGAGGTAGAGAAGGAAGAAAGGAGAGAAAGGGGAAGGGGAAGAAAAGGGGGAAGGAATAGGTAGGTACCTCTCTTTCATAATAGTCCAGATATCTACCTCTACTTCAAAAATTCTTACTATAGGCCACAGCAACGCGTGGCAGGGCACAGCTAGTATATATATAAAATGAACTGCTATGAACAAGAATGGAAGTCAAATCTACACCTTTTTATTTTTATTTTATTCTCTTTTTTCTTCTTTCCTACGATCCTATCAGTGCACTGTTCTCCCACTTTCCATGCGAAAACATAAATCGTTCTATTTTTTATTTTTCCTTAACTATATTTTTATTTGTATTAATGATTCTTCTTTCTTTTAATATTAATTAATAAAAATATATATATTTTAAAAAAGCAGATAAGCTGGCTTTTATACAGCAGTGCAGAAGGGGCCTGAGTCTACACTGCCATTTAAAATCTAGATCAGGGGTCCCCAAACTACGGCCCGCGGGCCGTATGCGGCCCGCCGAGGGCATTTCTTCGGCCCGTGCGGCCTGGCCTGGCCACGCCCACCTGGCGCCGCTCCGCCCATCGCGGGAACCCTCTGCTCCAGCCGCTCTGGTCTCCAAGGAGGCAGGTAAACTACAAGTCCAAAACCAAAGGAGACTGCCCACCAAACCCTTCCAGTATTTTCCATTGGTCTTGGGAGAACTGTGTGCCAAGTTTGGTTCAATTCCACTGTTGATGGGGTTCAGAATGCTCTTTGATTGTAGGTGAACTATAAATCCCAGCAACTACAACTCTCAAACGTCAAGATTCTATTTCCCCCATACTCCACAAGTGTTCACATTTGGGCATATGGAATATCAGTGCCAAGTTTGGTCCAGATCTATCATTGAGTCCACAGTGATTGATGGAGGCAGGTGAACTACAACTCCAAAACCAAAGGACACTGCCCACCAAACCCTTCCACTATTTTCAGTTGGTCATGGGAGAAATGTGTGCCAAGTTTGGTTCAATTCCATCGTTGGTGGGGTTCAGAATACTCTTTGATTGTAGGTGAACTATAAATCCCAGCAACTACAACTCCCAGACAAAATCATTTTTTTGAACGAAGAACATACATTGGGTTGTTAGGTGTCTTGTGTCTAAAATTGGTGTCAATTCGTCCAGTGGTTTTTGAGTTCTGTTAATCCCACAAACAAACATTACATTTATATTTATATAGAAGTGTGGGTCTTTGTTTTTTGATTTTTGGGGGGGGGTTTGCACTGCAAATAATATATGTGCAGAGTGCATAGGAATTCATTCATTTTTTTTCAAATTATAATCCGGCCCCCCAACAGTTTGCGGGACTGTGACCCGGCCCTCTGTTCAAAAAGTTTGGGGACCCCTGACCTAGATTATCTGCTTTGAACAGGAGTTTCTAAAAGAGGCCAGAAACTCCACTCGATCTGTTGGACTACAACTCCCTTCGCCCACAGCCTGCTTTTAATCGACGTACTTGAAGGCCTTGTACATGGGCCGATACCAGCAGAGGAAGGAACACGGGGTGAAGATCAAGGTCCAGAGGATGGAAAGGCCGAACCCGGAGCCACCGGAGGTGTCCACGCAGAACAAGGCCAGGGAGGCCAGGAAGTTGAAGAAGAGGGTCACGATGCTGGCTGCAACACACACACAGACACAAAGAGGGTTATATTATACTAGCTTTACCCGCCACGCGTTGCTGTGGCCAACCTTCTCTCCCTCTTTCTCTCCTTCTTTCACTCCTTCATTCATTTCCTTTTCTTCTTTCCTTTCTTCCTTCTCTACCTGTTTACTTCCTTCCTTAGCTTTTTGCTCCCATCCTTCCTTCTCTTTATTTCTTTCCTTCCCTCCCTCTTTCTCTCCTTCTTTCTCTTCTTCCTTTCCTCCCTTTTTCTTTCCTTCTCTCCTTCCTTCTCTTCCTCTTTCCTTCCTCCTCCCTTTTTATTTTCCTTCCTCTTTCTCTCCTTTCTTCCCTCTCTATCTCTTTCCTTCCTTCCTTCGCTCTTGACTTCCAGACTTCCTTTTCTTTCTTTTCTTTCCTCCCTTTCTCTTCTTCCTTTGCTTTTTCCCCTCTCTTCCCCTTCCCAAATTTCCCTTCCTTCCTCCCTTTTGACACCTTCCCTTCCCCTTCCCTTTCTTCTTCTTTTCTATCTTTCTTTCCTTTCCTCCTTCCTTCCTTTCTCCCTTCTTTCCCATCCTCCTTCTCTCTCTTTATTCCTCCTTTCCTACCTTTCTTCTTTCATATACCTTCTCAACTTCTCCTTCCTTCCTTCATACACCTTCCCTCCCTTCCCTCCTTCCTTCCTTTTCTTTCCTTCCTTCCTTCCTTTCTCCCTTCTTTCCCATCCTCCTTCTCTCTCTGTATTCTTTCTTTCCTACCTTTCTTCTTTCATATACCTTCTCAACTTCTCCTTCCTTCCTTCATACACCTTCCCTCCCTTCCCTCCTTCCTTCCTTTTCTTTCCTTCCTTCCTTCCTTTCTCCCTTCTTTCCCATCCTCCTTCTCTCTCTGTATTCTTTCTTTCCTACCTTTCTTCTTTCATATACCTTCTCAACTTCCCTCCCTCCCTTCCTTCCTTCCTTTCCTTCCTTCCTTTCTCCGTTCGCGCAGCATCCTGGCCCCCAGCGAGCAGGCTGCGTTCTTGAACTACAGTTCCCAGAGTGCATTGCATGTGTACTTCCTCCCCTGGGCACTGAGCATGCTCAGTTGGTTTTTGTAATTGTGAGTTTGTTGAAATGTTGTTTGGAATTTTGATTCGTGTTGTGCATTCCTTGTGGGTTGAGGTATGTGCACGGCAAATTTGGTGAGTTTTCGTCGGGGGGTTTCCGCGTTTTGCCGTCCCGTTGAACACCCTTTCCATTTTTATATATATAGATGGAAGCGTTCATAATTCTCAGCCAAGAGCTCATAAAACCTAAATTTTCCGACTGTGCCTGTTATACCCATCACTCCCTGCTTTCATCTTGTAATTTAATCTCATTTTACCAAGCTTATTAATCAAGTTTTACTGTGTTTAAATTTATTTTTAGTTATAAGTATTACAGGAGTTTTAGGATACAAAGAAGCAGAAAATACCATCAAAATAAATACATGAAATAACAAAATAAAATAAATATTACAAAATAACATGATAGAGAAATAGAACACAGTGGGCGGGCCAAATGCACCAGGATAAAATTCATATACACATATACACAAATACATACACACACAAAACATGTATATACAGACTGTGCCACAGCAACACATGGCAGGGGATGGCTAGTAATATAATATAATATAATATAATATAATATAATATAATATAATATAATGTATCATCCAGTATCAGCCACTTATTGAGGTTCTGGGTTTCAGCCTGCCACTTTTGGACTCTCATTTGCTGAGGTGTTCCGGCAAGTATCTCTGTAGATCTTAGGAAGCTATTTTTTTTTTAAAAAAAAATGAATCAGCTGTTTTCCCTGTAGTAGGCAGTAAGAGCACCTAAAGTTTTGGAGAACTTCTGTCCAATCATTTCAAAGCTCCCTGCTTGGGCAGTGATGGCACGATCGTGAGCATAGATGAAGCTCTTTGTCCCTTCTGGCAGTGGCTGGTCATTTGTGTAAATGTTGAACATTGATGGTGCAAGCAAGCTCCCCTTATGGCTTTAAAATAGCTCTTCTACACTATTATATAATCTACACATTATATAATATGGATTATCAAAGCAAATAATCCACATTATCTGATGTGAACTGGAATATATGAGTCTAAGGTAAAAGGTAAACGTAGTTCCCTGACATTAAGTCCAGTCGTGTCCAACTCTGGGGGTTAGTGCTCATCTCCATTTCAAAGCCGAAGCGCCGGCTTTGTCCGTAGACACCTCCAAGGTCATGTGGCCGGTATGACTGCAAAGAGCGCCGTTACTTTCCCACCGGAGTGGTACCTATTGATCTACTCACATTTGCATGTTTTCGAACTGCTAGGTTGGCAGAAGCAATCATCATTTGCATGTTTTCGAACTGCTAGGTTGGCAGAAGCAATCATCATCATACATTTTATTTATTATGTAAACAATATACATTCTTTCATGAGCTCAGCTTGCTGTGGAATCAGACATGGGTCTATTTTTTCCATAATTCTATGCAAAATAAGTCTCTCCAGTACTTTGTAAAGATGGCACAACAGGGAGATTGATCTAAAATTGTTATTATTATTATTTCATTATTGTTATTGTTATTATTATTATTATCATCATCATCATCATCATCTATAGCCTTTTGGGTTATTATGGTCTTTGCCTGATTTCAAAATGGCTATTTTAAAGCCATAAGGGGAGCCTGCTTGCATCATCAATGTTCAACATTTACACAAATGACCAGCCACTGCCAGAAGGGACAAAGAGCTTCATCTATGCTGACGATCGTGTCATCACTGCCCAAGCAGGGAACGTTGAAATGATTGAACAGAAGTTCTCCAAAACTTTAGGTGCTCTTACTGCCTACCACAGGAAAAACCAGCTGATTCCTTTTTTAAAAAAAAGATCTACAGAGATACTCGCCGGAACACCTCAGCAAGTGAGAGTCCAAAAGTGGCAGGCTGAAACCTGGAACCTCAATCAGTGGCTGATACTGGATGAGAAACTCTCTCCTGGGCACACAGAAGAGTGGATGACCTGGAAGGTACTGAACAGGCTGTGCCACAAAGTGGAGTCCACGGCATGCGAGTGTGGAGAAGAGCAAACCATAGACCACTTACTACAATGCAAAGTCTAAAGTACAAAGGACGAATGGGAACCAAGTTAGCCTATTTAGGCCCTTCTACACTATTATATAATCTACACATTATATAATGTGGATTATCAAAGCAGATAATCCACACTATCTGATTTGAACTGGATTATATGAGTCTACATTGCCATATAACCCAGTTCAAAGAAGATAATTTGGATTTTATTTGGCCTAGGATGAACCCAGAACCTTCTTGAGACAAAAATTGGCATTCATTCAGTGGCAGTCCTTTTCTCCAAGGGCTTACTTACCCATCCAGAGGTAGTACATCGTAGTGACTGTTTTCTGGGATTCCACCGGAATCTCCACCGGGATGTCCTGATAGAAACACGGTTTCACCGGACAGAAGGATGGCAGAGGTGGCCAATTGTTCGGTCTGGCTGTAAGATGAAAACAGAGACAGAAAGTCAAGTAAACAGGTGACTCCAGGGAGAGCATTTTATGTTGAACCAAAATAATAATAATAATAATAATAATAATAATAATAATAATAAAAAACACCACTTGGGAAGATTCCAACGTATGATCCAACACAACAGCCAGCAGAGTGATCTTGTCTGCTGTGGACTCATCTTGTTGTGTTTCTAATAATAATAATAATAATAATAATAATAATAATAATAATAACAACAACAACAATAATCATAGGCGCTTTTAACCCTTTTAGATGTGTTTTGAAGGACTAGAAAGCCACGAAATAAACCCTGGGAAATATAAACAGGACCGTGGTGTCGCAACGGCTTAAGCTGTTGAGCCGCTGAACTTGTTGACCTCAAGGTTGGCAGTTCAAATCCGTGAATTGGGGTGAGCTCCTGACGTTAGCCCCAGCTCCTACCAACCTAGCAATTAGAAAGCATGCAAATGTGAGCAGATCAATAAAGTACAGCCTCGGCAGGAAGGCAAACGGCACTCCATGCAGTCATGCCTGCCACACAACCCAGGAGGTGTCTATGGGCAATGCCGGCTCCTCGGCTTGGAAATGGAGATGAGTACTTCCCCAGAGATGGAGTTGAGTACCGTCTCCAGGAGCTGGAGATGAAAGGAGAAGCTTTTGCCTTGGTCTGTGAATTTCTGTCTCATTATATCAAGACACTGAAAGTTTGCCTATCTTTGTATATATACTGTAATCCACTCAGTATAATTATTATTATTATTATTATTATTATATTTTACTGACAAAAAATCACAACATGTTACAGCAACGAGATCTATAGGCTGGATTTCGTATCACAAAATCACAAGTCGAACACTTCCCAAGCGTCTAGGACTGTGTGAATTATTATTATTATTATTGTTATTATTATTATTACTATTATTAACACAAGATGAGTCCACGGCATTATTATTATTATTATTATTATTATTACTAGCCGTCCCCTGCCACGCGTTGCTGTGGCCCACATGTCGGTTCTATGTGGGAGCTTTGGCCCAATTCTATCGTTGATGGGGTTCAGAATGCTCTGTGATTGTAGGTGAACTACAAATCCCAGCAACTACAATTCCCAAATGTCAAGATTCTATTTTCCCCAAACTCCACCAGTGTTCACATTTGGGCAGATTGAGTATTCATGTAGTTTGGTCGAGATCCATCATTGTTTGAGTCCACAGTCCTCTCTGGATGTAGCTGAACTACAACTCCAAAACCAAAGGACACTGCCCACCAAACCCTTCCAGTATTTTGTGTTGATCATGAGAGAACTGTGTGCCAGGTTTGGTTCAATTCCATCGTTGGTGGGGTTCAGAATGCTCTTTGATTGTAGGTGAACTATAAATCCCAGCAACTACAACTCCCAAATGACAAAATCAATTTTTTTGAGTGAAGGACATACATTGGGTGGTTAGGTGTCTTGTGTCCAAATTTGGTGTCAATTCGTCCAGTGGTTTTTGAGTTATGTTAAACCCACAAATGAACATTACATTTTTATATAGATTATTGTTGTTGTTGTTGTTGTTGTTGTTATTATTATTATTATTATCATTATTATATTTTACTGACACAAAACCACACTATGTCACAGCAACAAGATCTATAGGCTGGATTTCGTATCACAAAATCACAAGTCAAACACTTCCCAAGTGTCTAGGACTGTGTGAAGTATTATTATTATTATTATTATTATTATTATTAGAAACAGAAGATGAGTCCACAGCATCATCATCATCACCATCACCATCACCATTATTATTATTATTATTATTATTATTATTATTATTATTATTATTATTAGGCATGGGCAATCCATGGTTCTA